TTTTTTTTTTTTTTTTTTCTTTTTTTTTTAAGAGTTTGTTTGAATTCAAAAGAAAAGTGCGTCGGGGCCGGGGTCCCCACAATTCAACCCGGGAAAGTCTCCTCTGGCAGCATTAGCCAAAACGGAACTTCATCAAAAGATATGGAAGCTGAACATTTTAAGCAATATGAGTCTGTACTAGTGTCAGAGAAGAAGATGCAGAGAGTGGCAGAACATGAAAGTGAATAGATGAGGGGACGCAGGAAAGAGAGGATAAATCCTAATGGTTGAGGAGTAGTTGGCATTGAAGAGTATAGGAAGGAGGGGTCTGAGAGTAAAGGGGGAGGAGGAGGAGATTAGGAGAGATAGGCTACGTAAGACTGACTACTAAACTAAGAAAGCCTACAAAGAACACAAACCCAACCGGCCTATAAATGGCTGGTTGGAGCCTAAAATTGGCTCCTCTCGAATTCTGACACTCTCCTACCCCCTCCCCACAACTGTCGACACTGATGGCCTACTGCGACCCTGACAACCGAGTGCCCTGGTTAGGTTGACACCAAGTTTGGCACACCAAACTTGGTGTCTCTCTCTCTCTCTCTCTCACTCTCTCAACTCTGCGTCAGTGGGCCTCAGCTCTACACGCGCAAAATACAAAACTCGTCACCATACATGTTCGCAGGGAAGATTCACTCTTGTTTCGCAAGTTTTGAGTAGTCCAGCCACTCTCTCTCTCTCAGGCGCGCCCTTTCAAACTTGAAAGAATGAGAAAGAATCTACCCACGTTTTTGTGGAAGATTCATTCTCATTTTGCAAATATGGAGCTGCAGCGCGCCTGCTTTTTCTCCTGATGTGCGTTCAGAGAGAGAGAGAGAGAGAGAGAGAGACATGCCGAGCTTCGTGCGCCAAACTCGACGTCTCCCTCTCTCTCTCTGTCTCTCTCTTCGAACTCTGCGTCAGTCATGGTCAGTCGGCCTCCGTGGACATGCACAAAAGCCAAAAATCATCACGGTGTATCTTTCCATGTTCATGTGGAAGATTCACTCTCGTTTTGCAAATTTCACGGGCCTTCTTTGTTTTCGATTTCTTGTTTTCTTGGGCAGAAGAATTGTCGAGTTTTTTTTTTCTCGTTTTTTTTTTTTTTTTTTTTTTTTTTGTTCACGAGTACCTACCGGTAGCTCGAGGCTTGCAAGATTCGGGTTACCGGTAGGCTGAGCCACCGGCCTTAACAACCGCTAGGTACTGGTGGTTTAAACTCGTCCCTGACAGCCGTCTAGGCCAATGGATTCCTAGACCTCCTACCCTTCATATGTGAGGGAGGATGAGCATAGCTTGGCAGACCTGCGTGGTTCGCTCAACCTGTTGGAGTCCTATCGATCTCTGCACCCTTAAGACAAAACCTACACATGCATGTCTAACAGCAATGTGGTGACATGGTTGATGTTTTGCTTCGA